TTTTCTTTTGTTGTGTGTGTGTGTATTCCCCAGTGTAAATAAATAATTTGGGGTAGAAATTGTGCTGGATGTTTCAACTTTCGTTGGGAGCTTATGACTGTGGACGCGTTTTGTTTTGTTAATCGGACGGACATTTGCTGTGTTGGATATTGTTGTTTCTTTTCTTTTTCCCTTGTGTTCTTGTTATTACTTGGTAATGCTGCTGTAGGATATAATCTGCTATGGTGCTTGAACTGTATGGTATTTATCATTATTGCTTGGAATCGGTTTATGTGGCAATATATAGGGGTGCTAAATTGTGTAATCCTATCACATAAGTCAACATTTAAGCTTGTGTGTTCATCATGTCATTTATTTTCATGATCATAAGCTTGTTTTCTTTCGAGCCGTGCCAGATATTACTACAAAGGCTACAAATCATTAGTTTGCAATTTCTTTTCCTGTGTTGTCAATTTTTTTTTTAATGGGGCATGATGCGGTCCCACTCAGTGAAGCGCACCATGAGACGGTGAATTTAGCTGCACTTTAGTAAAGTTCCATCCCAAATCATTTGGTGATGGAAGGAGTAGCTCACTAGACTCATTTACCATATCTAATCAATGTGGACAACTCACAAGTCTACAACCAGGTCGGGTACATTCAATTGTTCATCATCGTACGCCCGTGCGTACAACTTAGTTGGGTACATTTTTTAAATCATTACCGGCCTCAAAGGCCCGCTCTGATACCATGTCAAATTTTATAATCGGGGCATCAAGTGTGCAATCCAACTCAGTGAAATGCACTATAAAAGAGCGAGCATAGTTGCACCTTAGAGAGATTCCATCTCAAAATTAATTGGTGATGAGAGGGGTAGCTCACTAGGCTTATAAACTAGACCCATTTACCCTATCAAATCAACGTAGAACAACATAAATGATATTTCAACAACGTAGAACAACATAAATGATATTCCAACATGTGTCCTGGGGATATAGGCTAATTCCTTTTTCTAATTTTTACTTTCACGTGGAAGAGAAATATGATTTATAATTATGAACGAGTAATAAGGTTTCGAGAGTTGAAATTGCCCGGTATGATCTGAATCAGATCTTTATGCATCCTCCAATTTTGAATAAGGTATAGTTTGGATAAAGAGTTGACAAATTAGCTATTAAGTGGGCGAATCCGACAAGATTGTTAGTTTAGTTGGTTAAGATCAGAAGGCCTGATCCTTAGAACTATTATTTAAAATTTAAATCAATACGACAGACGAAAAAGGAAAATTGGAATAAAGGTGGTACTTCTCCAACAAATGTGCTTTCTCTTGTGATGAATCGTGAGGAGATGAAAATGACGAGCCAAACTCACTTGTAGATGCCGAGCGGGTCACCGAGAGGGCCTGCTCGCCTCAATCGAAGAAATTCAAATTTAGTCCAAAAAATAGCAATTAAGAAATTTCAATATTATTGGTTCAGCAGACCAAGTAGATGATGAGTATTATATTTGATCGACCGGTTTTAATTGGTGTCACAAATTCAATAATTTTGAGTTGCATCAAAATACATTGTGGATGAGTTTTT